CTCTTTTTATCACATAAAATTGACCAGTAAAACTAAAAACTAATTGAATGCATGCTTTGTTTTAATAGTAACACCAAATCCTCTGGTTTGCAATTGGAAACATTATTTGTAAAATTGTTTGTATTTCTGGGACAAATAAAGGGAGAACAACACATATTTTGGCAATTATGGGTCTCAAACGTTGCCATGGCAACCGTGACGTCAAATTACTCTGCATTATTAAATACTTTAGGATCTTACCTTTCAGAAAATATATAGGTTGTTCTTTGTAAAAGTGACTAGAAAATGCCTAAAATTCTATTTGAACTTTTTAGGCAGTTATGCAGAAAAATTGCAAAATCTCTGGCCGTTAAAGGGTTAAGAGAGCATCTAAGATAAGCTTAGGATTCATTGATAGAACATTTTATCTGGTGCAGAATGAATTTACAACAATTACATAGTTCTAATAATTCTGTATTCCTCATCTCTTTGCCCATTTCCATTTGACTGGCATATCGCAAAATCGTCGTTTACATCCCCCACATCAATCATTTTATTAACGTTTTTGTTTATCTTTTAAATTAATCTTACACACAAATACAGTTCAGTAATTAATATTTGAATAACTATTAATATCTATTATGTATTTTATGTTTTTATCCTTTCACAGAATATTGTACTTCCTGATATAATTTTCTTGTATATTTACCTATTCTATAAATGTTCTGTCTTTAAGTAACACATTCCCCAAACCACGAACTCTCCAAGAGTGAACGTAAGTAGCATTGCTCTGGGTTTTTTTTATTCGCTATTTATATTAAAAATGTTATTTATATTATCACAAGCTCAATTGCCTCCTGTTCTAACAAATACCTAAATTTAGGCAAAGATCATTCACAGAAATATTTGAGTTTGGTATGTAGTATCGGAAGATACTAAAGAGTATACAAAGAACAAACATATTTAGTAATGGAGGAAAAAAAAATCCAACTATTAAAATAGTCATAAAACTTATACATATATAATGAAATTAATTCTCAAAGTGCACTTTAAGAGTTCGATAAAAACTATTTGAAACGTATTAAAGATTTTGCTGATGGATATTGTTTTTCTTTCAATTCTTTTCAGAATACGAGGCTTACAGGAATGGCGAATGTTTAAGTGAACATACGGGTATGCTTTGTTTGTTTTTGGCTTTACATTATTTACAATTTGTTTTTTTTTTTTTTGTAAATAATGTTATGACGATAATGATAATATTCATGCTTTATTACCCGATTATTAATTCATCATGTGTCCAATAACTTGAGTTTAAAAATGTCATAACTCAATACCACCCAAAATGCTTCAAAGACGAATTCAGTAGTAAATTACTAGTATATTCATCAAAAATTTATATTCGATTGAACTTTCATAATTAAAATATTAAAATAAAGTTTTTAGAATAAATAAAGTTTACTTAAGGGAGAGGACATGGTTTTATTGTGTGACAACTACAATAGAAAAATTCTTTGATTTCATACCATATGTAACTTACTTTGACTTCAGTGTACAAGCCAAGTTTAGGGAAAAATCTACTGTCCATGTATTTTAAAGTTATCATTTTCAAAATACAGATACATTGACAGAATTAAATTGGAAAGTGCCAATTTTATGCACTTTAAAGCAAATTGTAAAATTACTACAATTCTGCCCAGTTTATAATATATGATGAGTAATGCTATATTGTACATTATAGGTACGAGACACAAAATTCTACCTTTTCAATCCTATTATATTTCATTATTAAAAGAGTTTTATTGTCTATAATATTTTGTAAGTAAAGAAAACGCTGGTCATTTTGTGAAATTAATTGTAAAATTGACATTTAACGTACAATGTGAAATAGATTGTTATCCATTCTTATCAGTCAGAATTTATCTGAGTAAACGTCATTCTTGAGAACTTCAGTTAATCATAACGTCAAAAGCACTTTTTCACGACGTCAATCTACCTATCAATTGAGAAATATCAGTTAAATAAAATTGTAGTTAATTTTTTCAAACTGTAATTTCCTAGTTTTGTTCATTTTTTAATTATATGAAAAGAATGCTTTAAAACTAAATATACTACATTGTATGATGCTCGAAGTATTATGCAATGGAAACCCCAGTCGGCCCCCTTAAATTAAGATAGTCTTCGTTTTTGCGGAGTATTGACAAACTAAAAATTGACACCTTAAAAATAAACTTATCTCGCCGCTTTTCAATGTATTTTTGTCTGGAGATGCAAAAATAAAGTTTGTCTCCTACATTTAAACATGTTATTATAAGCTGTAACTATTATATTCATTTCCCACAATTCAAAAAGAAATAACATTTGGAACGAACAATTAAAAAAAATAATTCGAGATCCTCAACTCAACACTTTCTGAGGTATCAAATAACAGTGGAAATGACAAACAGAAAATGAGTGGATTGCAAAGCAACCTCTAATGAAATAAGTTCCAACAGAACACAAAATTATACATCTTAATGTCGATGATTGTTTTTTTAAATGCTTATTTATATTTATATTTCGAACATAAGAAAATGCTTTAATTCAACTCGTCGGAGAGGGAGTTATCATTTTAAGATAATGTATTGTTTCGCTTTCTCCAGTTTGGAAATTTCTTTATTTTGGACTTGGATATCCACATCACTTAAGCAGGGATACAGCTATAAAACAGATGGCAGGTATGAATGTTTGCTATAGTTATGAAATTTAAATACAGTAGATATTTCATAAATCATTGTCTTGTTAGTAGAGTATATGCCAGGGCATCAACGATAGTTGGAAACGAGGGGTATTTTGCTTAAAGCCTTTTTCCCATTTTTATGGAGTTTATACAAAATATTTTTAACAATGGATTTTAACCAATGAATTCTTAATTTTATTAAATTTTATTTATGATGTAAAATAGTTCCTTTAAAACAGAAAATTTTACTATGATGCATGTGTACAAAGTATAATTGTGCAATTAACCCCAGCCGGTCCCCTCATGTGTCATATTTGTCATATATGTCTCTTTCCACTTAAAAACATAAATGGATTCGATTCTACAAATGTTTAAGAACAACTTATAAAACTTAAAATAAAGTAAATATAGGTATTCATAGTCTACATCTAGCTCCTCCCTAAAATATTACATGTATTTATACTTGAAAAGCAGGCCTAGAGGGATGTATAGTGATGGGCAGTCTGTCTGTTATACTTTTAGGCATCGATCTCTTATCCGCAAATACTTTTATACCACTGAATAAAATTTAATGAGACTGTCACAGCCTTACAATAGTACAATTGCGCACTTTTGATTTCTTTTTCTGATTCGACACATATTTTGCTTTTTTTTTCCATAGAGGACATTGAGACTGCCATTTTTTAAAATAATATTGAGGGTTGCTCATCTCTAATCGCAACTATTCCTATATCAATGAATAAAGTTTCATTATACTTTCATAGATTCTTTATTACATAGTGCTTTTGTGCACCTTCTGTTCTGCCTTTTGATCTGACACTTATTTCGAGTCTTCCGTAGTAAAAATGGACTTTGCCATTATAATTATATGGGAGGCGGAGGTATCATTTTTTGAACTCTGTTACTCACATTACGTACCTCAAGTTTTCTGATCAAAATTTGTCTGTTGTAGTCGTCATTGTCGGAAACTTTTCACATTTCATTTTCTACTGAAAATCCATTGGGTTAATTTCAACCAAAGTTTCAACAAAGTATCCTTGGGTAAAGGGAATTCAAGATTGTCAAAGGAGGATGTTGATAACAAATAAGATTCAATATCAAAGTCCCTAAAACAATACAAATTAGGAGCAGAGCAAACACGGATCCCCGAAACATCAGAGGTGGGATCAGGTGCCATGGAGGAATGAGCATCCCCTGCTGACCGGTCACATCCGCCGTGTGCTCCTTGTCATGATCTGGAAATAACGGAAAAACCCGTCGTCAATTCAGTGTATAAGCAATGGACTAACAATTTTATGAAAAACGTCAGTCATCATTTGACTCAATGATGAATTGTATTCGCTGACAAACAATGTCATGGTATCGACCATAGAACTTACGAAATGATGACTTTAAACGAGACTGTTGATATTCTTGTATCACCAACTTGCTTGTCAATAATTTACCTGTCTAAGAAATTGTTCATACATAGAGCATGCTCTTGCGTAACTAATCATCTGGGTCAATCCAAATGAAGCACCACGCCTTCTTCCAAGGAAAGATTCTAGTAATTATGATTTTGGGGAAAATGTGGCATTATTTAAAAAATCTACATGTTTAAGTGGAATCATTATGGGGTAGTGTTCAAACCATGCCCTTTAAGGGTAGAGTGGGCCACAAAAGAACAGCAAAGCCGTGTTTGGTCACATGTACAAGGAAGGATCCTAGGGTAGTGTAGATTCAAATTTGTTCAAATCAAGACTCCCGGGGAAAGGGTGGGCCCACAAAGGGGGGGGGGGGTCAAAGTTATTGAAATGCATAGGAATGTCACGGAGGTGACCGAGCAATTATAACTTTTTAATTCCACTGAGTATATATCCAATTATAATTAAGATATCCTTGGTTGATAAATCCTTGTAATGCTAAATCCAATAAAAAGTCAGTAAACAGTGTACTAATTTATTTACATATATACAATGAGGAGGCACAATACAAACGAAAGATGTTACATTTATGCTAGCATATGTACTGTCTAAATCCTAGCAAAGCACTCTCCCCTTCTAAAAATGTCACACTTATTATATACTAATCTTAGCTCCAATAGATGATTATCTAAAACATTAGCTCCATCCTATTAATTAACTAACTCCAACTCTACATAAATCTTTATCAAATCCTTATCAAACTGTCAAAACCTAGCTTGACTTTAACTCAATACACGGCTCCCGATTCTACGAACAATAGCTCCCATTGCTCCACTCATTAAAGACTCATTATTCTTGACCACACTAGACACTGCTCTACTTTTAATTACCCTAACACAGCTTGACTAGTCTGGGCAATGCATCCAAATGCCTGTAACTCTGGACATTTAATAATAAATCACTTCATTACTTTTGAGCCTAAAATTACTACTCATCATTCCTTCCCCTCTTTTTAAGTAACTGTCCTCAGTTTACAACTACTATTACATTAACACTACAACTACAACATGTCCTGTAAATACATTATGGAAACGTTTATCAAAAAGAACTAACCTACTAAAACAAATCTATACACCTTAAAATCCATTGTAAAATCTAAATTTCATTGATTAGTTTAAATCATTATCTTCCCATGAGCATCTCTTCATCACCTACTTAAGTAACAAACCCTAATATATATCAATAGATGAACCACTAAACATATATCAACACAGTGTAACATCAGTTATACAATTTAAAAAATATTTAACTGTTCATAAGAATGCATTGAGCTGTCCATAGTATCACAGATTATAAGTTGAACTGTTCATAAAAAATATTAATCCAAAGCGAATAATTTATCAATTCCAAAATAAGTCATTTAGTCCAAAGGCACATCAACACGAAGTACGAGAGAATTCACAAAATTTCAGCGGACACGAAACGATTTCTCAAATTGTTCAAATGTTCTGGCACTTCATTGATGATATTCGTCGGAATTTCAGAAAAGTCAATTTCTTCTGGTATTAATCCTTTACTATAACTTATTCCAGTCTCTCTTTCGATAGATTGATGTCCATCTGCATAGGTATGTTGGTATCGTTTTAATGTTAAGTTTATACACATCAATTCCACTGTCTTGGTGGGGTTGAAGTCGTCATCTGGTCCTTCTGCTTCTTCTTCCCGCTCAAGGTCATCTGAACTTTCAGGGTCTTCAAGGTCAGACACATCTTCTTCCTCATAGTTAGGATTCACTTCATGGTTCTGAGGCTCGTCTTCCTCTGGATTTATAAGAGTTTCCATTGTTTCCTCCAATGATGTTAATGATTAGTTGCTCACAGGAGAATAATAATTTGTAAAGAATTCTCCAAAATTCTCTTCTTCTTCATCTGAAATGTCGGAGTACATGTCGTTCTTGATGGTCACAAACACTGGCTCAGGCTCATCATAATAAGTGTGGTACTTCTTCATGTGCTGTGTTAAAGCATATTTTCTTCCGAAAACTTTACCGCACGTCGTCACAGGGCACTGATGATCGTAATGTCCATTTGAATAACACTCTCTGTTATGTCTGTATAAATTCCGTCTGTGTTTAAATTCTCTGTTACAAAGTGAACAATAGTTCTTAGAATAATCCATAATAATACATGTAATAAGTTGAATGTTCTACAAGGAAGTAAATTTCAGTTTAAGTTGTTGTCTTTCCAATGTCCAATATATAGACCTGGGCTGACAAATGCCAAATTCCAAAATGTATGTGTTTTGGGAGCACTGCACAATGAAACTTGGAGCCATCCATATGGTTTTGGAGCACTGTCCATCTTAATGTACATTACACAAGTCACGGTTCCTTTCAAATTTATCTGAATCACCATTATCTTCATCTTCTGAACTAACATATTCACAATTTCACATGAAAATCACAATCCTAGTAATCCGCACACTTATTCACTGTGTCACCAATTTATTTTTTTCTTTGTCTAAACGCAGCACCTCGACCTTTATAATTTCTTTCAAATTCCTCAATTAAATTTCCTGGAACTAGTGAAGAATCAACCCATGTACTTTCTTTTTCATCATTTTTATATTTCACAAAAAATTTAGCTTCTGCTCTCCCTTTATCATTCCTGGACCATAACTTATCACAAACTTCTACTATTTCAGGTTCTAACACTGTTCTTTGTGCATTTTCTAATTCTGAATTATTTTCATCACTTGGATAATTCTCTTGATTCTCATCTCCACATTCGCTTTCGTTGTCAGAATGTTCTTCATTAAATCGCAGATTAGGTGGTAAATCTTCAGGATCAACAAATGCCTTCATTCTGTTTGCATGCACAATCTGCTGTCTTCTTTTGTTATCACAACTTTCAACTTTAAAATTCACAGGTGAGGTTTTTTCTATTATGCGATGTGGTCCATTCCAAGGATGAATTAATTTGTGAGTAAGACCTTGTTTGGTCACAGGCAAGTAAATCCATACTCTTTCTCCAATACTAAATTCTGGTTCTTTCGCATTCTTGTCCTGATGTTGTTTTTGCTTTTGTTGGGCAAGTTCTATATTACTTTTCACTAAAGTGAAGGCCTCGTTTAATCGATTCAATATAACATTTTTGTATTCGTCCACATCAGTATATCTACGAGTTGGTTCAGATAATGCCACATCAACTGGTAATCGCGCATCCCTTCCATAAACTAAATAAAATGGTGTTTCCTGAATAGTTTCCTGTATACTTGTCCTATAGGCAAATAAAACATATGGAATAAAAACATCCCAGTCTCGCTGATGATCATTCACAAACATTGACAGCATAGTTGTTAAAGTGTCATTGAATTTCTCTACCAATCCATCGCACTGAGGATGGTAAGCAGTTGTAAATATCTTCTTTGTATTCACTAAATCACATACTTCCTTCATCAAACTCGAAGTGAAGTTTCGTCCTCTGTCAGAAAGTAATGTACGAGGAGCTGAATGTCGACAAATAATTTCTTCAACGAACAGTTTTGCTGTGGTTTTCGCATCGGCATTTGATACTGGAAATGCTTCTACCCATCT